AGCATGATCCAGCCTCATAGAAAGACTTCAGATGATCCAACACTTGTGAAGAGATGATGCGGACCCCTGCGAGGACCCCAGATTACGCCAACTTGAATCTATATGCACAGCTGCCAAATTTTCTCTATATTGTAATCATTATGATCACACTTGTAATAATCGCTTTAATGAGCTGCCTAAAATTAATTCATGTTAGCTAACTGTATGATTCTATTATCTTGAACTGTTCATTTGTGAAATGAACATTACTTGGACACATTCACTTCTGCTTTGTAATGTAGACACATCCATTTTCTGTAAAGCTGCTTTGAAATGTGTATTGTACGAATAAATTTTAATTGAATTGAATATTTTTTCCCAAACATTTTACCAATTCCAAAGCACATCAATCTTAATAACTACTATTAATTTTGTATTTGATCATTTATAAGTGATATATTATTGTCCGTGAAGGCTGCTTTTCTCAAAGGCTTTCTTAAAATGAGGGAAAAAAGTGATTTAACTCAGACTAAAAGTCAGAAATTATTAACTGCCCATGAGAAGGATGCAATACTAATGCAGTACTAGAATTTGCAAAGTTAAGGCATGACCTTTGGACAGTGAAATCAGAATATCATTGTGCCTAATAATTATGCACGCACTGTATATAGTTCTTTTTGAAAGTATCTTGATTTTTAGATATTTGTACTGGAAAAGACAAAAATACTGTATGTATGTATATATATATATATTCCAGGAACATTTATTTCAGTTTTTGTTTTTTTTAGGTTTTATTTATTTCCAGTTATATGAACTTCATTTCATTTATTTGAACATTTTTTTGTTTAAAATTTTTTCATCTGATATTTATATTTTAAGCTTTGTTTCAATGAACAAAAATGTTTTTAATAGCTTTAGTTTCAGTTTAAAATTCAGTTTATGCTTAAACAAGAAAAACGGGGTAAGAAAAATCAAAAGGATTATTTTTCTTAACCCATGGACACATATTTGTTCTTGTCATAAGCATAAACTCACTTAAATTTGATCATTTTTATCAGACAAAAAAAAGGTTTACCTGAGTGTCAGTGAATCTCCTAAGATTGAGATGAGAAGATCATCAAAGCTCCTGCTGTGTGTCGATGATCTCTGATCTGAAGCTCAATCTGAGGTTGAACAGGCCTCACACTCCTCCCACCACATTGGGTTTTCCATCTACACCGCGGTACTCAAGGGAAACGAATGTGATCACTGAGACTGCAGGAGTCTCTCCATGACCCTCCTGAACAAAACGCTCCAGTGTTCATTCAGCCCCATGACCAGTGTTTCCATCTGAACAACAGGCCATCAACAGCTTCTTTTAATATCACATGAAGAAAGACTCCAGCTGTATTTACATGTAATCAATTTTGTTCACTTAAAGGCTTTTTCTGTTGCTTTTGTCTGCAAAAGGAAATACATGATTTCCAGTATACTCCATTAAACTGACATCTCAAAGGTCTTCAGTGAGATGTACTGAAATCAGATCCTGAAGACAAACCAGGATTTATTTGCCGAAAACAATACAGTATTGATTTGACAGACAGCTTTTTTTTTCAAAATGGAAATTCTGAGCAGTGTTATTTTTGTATTATTTATATACTAGTTTTATTAATATTTCAGATTTCTCTTTAATTTGATTTATTTTGTCATTTTGATTTGCACTTTTGTCAGACGTTTTTATTTATTTTCAATATTTTTACTGTTTGTCTAATTTATTTTTCAGTTTTAGTGTTATGATAAAGTTATGATAAACCCATGAGAAATGAAAATTACACAGCTCTCGTTAATCTCAATTGTTTCTCAGCGACAGTAACGACACTAAATGAAGGCTAAATTTAGCTAAAGTCTGACGTTTCTGGGGCAAAGTTGATACTGTAGAGCGTAACTAATATATCCATTAAATCTCCTGAGCCACGAAAGAGCAACCACTGAGCATTATAAAGACCAACAGACAGATGATTAAAGACTTTATCACAGTTTTATTTTTGATCGTACATAGAAAGTGTAAAAGAGCAATGTACAAAATATCTATACAAAAATATACTTGTAAACATACATGAAGCTTTGGTACCTTAGAGTGCGTAGCTTTACTATGTGATATATGTATTGAGATGTGCAATTTAATAAGGCCTTGTGCATACATACGAAGCCGTCAAGATGAAGCCTTTATGAACACCTTCTCAAACTGTGTTTGGGTATATTAAATGTTTGCATGAAATATGTATAATCTATTTGCTCCAATCACTCATAAACATTAAAGTGCAAGTTTGCTACAAGAATCTTGACAAAAACAAGCCTGAAGTTAAAATCAAGTCACAGACAGCTGTCTGAATATAGAAATGAAATATGCACTTAATTTCAAAAATGCTGAGATTGATTTTAACACAAAAAAGTATGATATAGCACATCATATTTGTGTGCTGATTGACAGTTTGAAGTTTGATTTTAAACCATAACACAACTAATGTACATATCAGCTGATTGTAGCTTTGCCTTCTGCAGTTTATAATACTGCATTGTACCACCTTAGTAAGAAAGAATACAAAAACAATGAAGAACTGGTCTGGTTCAAGCCTCAACCTTCACAGACGGTCTTTAAGGACACATGAGGAAATCTAGCATATCATTCTGATGCATTTGATAAAAATCTGCTCAAAATGTACATTAAAATTACTTCATGATGACAGGAAGCAGGAGTGTGTCACAGGAAGCTCTCCTCCACTTCTGGACTTCCAGAATGATCTGACAGCAGCTCCTCGCGCTCGGGTTCGGTGCTCGGGGTTTCCATGGAGACCGTCTCCTCATCAGAACTTAACAAGCTTTAGAAGAGAAATAAAGAGCACCTTTAACATCACAATAACACACACACACAGACACACACACACACACACACACACAGACACACACACACACACTGTTATAAAGTCTGAATCTCCAGGAGGAGCCGTTAACAAAGAGCACATTCTTTAAAAGAGGATTTCTGCTTCATTACTATAAGTCATTTTTACATCCATCTAGAAGATCTTAAAAGATATTAATAGAAAAGTTATTAATTAATCTTCTAATGAACTAAATGTAATATAAAATATATGATGATAAAACAGTATAAATAGTATTGAAAACTGAGGAACATATTCATAGTTAATGTGATAAATTATTTGTTACAAATACAATATTTATATTATATCTAAACACATAACAAACAAATTTATACCATGAATGCATATGTTGATTGACCAAATAAATAAAAGTAAAATCAATCAATCAATTAATCACAGTTTAAGTACATGCTCTCATTCTCATGTTAAAATTACTCCCATTTGCACAGATGAACAGATTAATCATGAGGTTTTTGAATAAAAAGAGAAGTGATCCCCCTGTGTAAGGAAGAGGAAGAGGTGATGTCTCATCTTTCCTTCATCCTCTGCGCAGTCTGCGGTCATCTGATTTATTTTTGAGCACACAGGAAGTCAGCGTTACCTCGAGGGGATTTCCGTCAGTACCGGCCCGTCCTGGGTCTCCTCCTCCGGTTTGGGATCGGGGATGGGGATGATGTACTCATTGTGCGGAGCGTCAGTGCTCTCTCCGTTGGCCTGCGGGCGCGGGGTCGGGTTTGGGCTCGGATCTGAGGCGGGAGACTGAGGAGGGAAGGTTCCCGGGAATGGAGACGGGACACACGGCTTCACACGGGCCACCGCAGGGTGATCACTCTTCAGAAAGCTGTCGCTGACCTGAGAGTATCTCTGAGGAGACACATAATGATGATGCTTAATCCATGGTTTTTACCTGATCTCAGATCAGTTTTATACATTTGTGCACATTTGTGTTCTAGTTTGTTTGTTTTTTATGCATGTTTTGCTTCAATTATTTTGCGAAGCACTTGATTCAACTGATTCAAGGTTTCAAAAAGGTTAATTTCTCCCCTCATTAGTGTACACTACTGCTCAAAAGTTTGGAATAATTATGATTTTTTTAAATGTTTTCAAAAGAAGTCTCTTCTGCTCACCAAGGGTGCAAGGTTAGTTTGGTTCAGTGTGATTTTAGAAAGTACTTGAGCAAAAGACAAACAAAAAGTTTGTCAATACTGTATATGAGTATAACAATATATGAGGTTTATAGTTTATATTTATACCATAAAAGATTGGTTTGCTAAAAAATTGTCAATATGTTCTGTCATTCTTAAATAAAAAATTGCTCCTATTTAAACAGATTATTAATGCGAGTTGAGAATTGAGTTTGACTAAATGTTTAAGTTATGTGTTTCTCTGAAGTTTACTTTTCATTGTGTGATTTTATAAAGTACTTAAGCGAAAATGATTGGAATAATGAAAATTATATTGGTCAAAATGAGTCTACTCCACCAAGCTACTGTTATAAGCATGAGCCCCGTCAGACTGGTCGTGGCGGCGGTGTTGCAACAATATATAGTGATATTCTCAATGTTACTCAGAAGACAGGATACAGGTTTAACTCATTCGAAATACTTCTGCTTAATGTTACACTGTCAGATATGCAAAAGAAATCTATCGTATCTCTTACTCTGGCTACTGTGTATAGACCACCAGGACCATATACAGATTTCCTAAAAGAATTTGCAGATCTCAGACCTATTGGTTACTGTTGATAAAGCGCTAATTGTCGGAGATTTTAACATTCACATTGATAATACAAATGATGCATTAGGACTTAAGTTTAGAAGTGAACTGATCTTCCAACTTTTTAGCGTAGGTCCTTTTAGCCACTCTAATCTCCTTATTCAGTGTGTTCCTGGCCTGATTGTACAAGACTCTGTCCCCATTTCTGTAGGCATCCTCTTTGGCCTGACGAAGATGTCTGAGTTTTGCTGTAAACCATGGTTTATCATTGTTGAATGTTAAATAAGTCCTGGTAGGAATGCATATATCCTCACAAAAACTAATATAGGATGTTACAGTCTCTGTGAGTTCATCCAGATCGGTGGTAGCAGCTTCAAAAACACTCCAATCAGTGGAGTCGAAACAGGCTTGTAAAACCCACTCTGTTTCGTTGGTCCATCTCTTTATAGTCTTTACTACAGGTTTAGCAGATTTAAGTTTCTGCCTGTAGGTTGGTATAAGATGAACCAGGCAGTGATCAGAGAGCCCCAAGCTGCCCGTGGGACAGAGAGATATGCATCCTTTATTGCTGTGTAACAGAGCTTTGATGACAGATGATCCGAAAAATTCTAAAATAGTTAAAAGTGAACTATTAAAAATAATAGCTGAACAAAAGTTCACAAATAAAATATATTGTTTAAATCGTCACTGCTTTGAGTTATCATTTTGGAATAAATGTAAAATGCTTAAAAACACTTGATGACACTTGATTAAAAAAACTTGATGAGATTCATACTTGGCTTTAATAAATAGAATATTGATTACATTGTTAATGTAAAAATATAAAATAGATTTTTTTTCCTGATAGTGTAAGTAATGTTTATTTAACCAAGAAAATGTGACTGGGACATTAATTTATTTATTTAAAAAAAAGGGGACTTTGCCTCCCCATTTCAGAACACCACTGCACACCACTGATGATCACGTTAATAGCAGTAAGATGTTCACATGACACGAGCAAACCTCTTCACTCCAGTTTACATGCTATTTCATTATTCTGATTATTTGCTAAGAAGTCTGGTTATTTTTATCGTCATTATTCACATACTTCACAACACAAATGATGAACTCATACATTAGGCGTTTTACTGGCCACTGTCCACTTAAAGGGTTAGTTCACCCAAAAATGAAAATTAGCCCATAAATTACTCACCCTCAAGGCATCCTAGGTGTATATGACTTTCTTCTTTCAGACGAATCCAGTCGGAGTTATATTAAAGGGGTCATATGATGCGATTTAAATTTTTCCTTTCTCTTTGGAGTGTTTAGCTGATCCGTATTGGTCGCTGAGGAAATACATCAACTTCATGCTGTGGATTGCCGAATCGGCTTTCACCATGGACGAAGCGGAATCCAGCCCGGGGTCGCCACATGTGGTTGCCGCAAGCCCTCCGGACGCTCCTTCGTCGAATCCGCCGGCCGCGCC